CAGCAGAGGCCACGACGACATTTACAAATTTTCTGTTTGCTGTTCATTTACCCCTTTGCAAGTTGATCGGCCTTCAGCTGGCATAAATGTAAGCGATGATTAAAAACAAAACTTTTAGAGTGACAAAAATTGTTTATTTCGTAAGATTTTAATATAAGTTATAAAAAACTTTCACACTCACTTGAATACTTGCAAACAATAGTTGCTTTAAAAGAAGGTGTTGTGTCACTCCATTTATGATCGCTGTATGAAGTAAATACTTGTCCATTTGAACAACACCTATCTGGTTCTCCTTCTTTCCAATTTTGAAAATATATTTTATCTGCGAAAGGAAATTCCCAAGAGCCAGAGTAAAATACTGGAGCCAGCCAGAACGGTCTCGAGAAAGTAAACTCTTAACAAGTCAAAAAAGTTCACTTCATTTGGATATGTCGTTCATTCGCAGAATTTAATTTCATTATTTTATTTATATTTTTTACCTATATTTTTAATTCTAAGTTAAGAATAATGGAACTTTTTACTGTCGAGAAATTCTTGCTCGTCACTGGAATTAATCCACACTAAGTCCGATCCATGATAAGAGCAAGTTTTCTGTGCAACACTCCAGTCAACTTCCATATTGAACTAAATTTTGAAAGTGATAAATGGTATTTTAAAAAATGCTTCATTACATGTAAAAGAGTAAAAAGAAAGTAAAAGCACATTGCAAGTAGTAATAAAGAATCTTAATGAGCGACTTCTGCTAAGCTTAATAAGCCAAATTATTCAATTTACGCCTTTGAAATAAGAATGTGTTTAAAATCATTCAACTCACGGTTTTATAGCAGAAGTTGTTGAATTCGCTAAAACCCGGTCTGCACCACAGTTTTGCTATAATTATTAGAAAAACGCAATGGAAAATGCAAGCAAAAGTAATGGAATTAAGTTAAACGCATACGGTTGAACTTGCAAAGAAAGTATAGTTTCTTTTCGCAGTTTTCACGATGCCAGTCTCCGGTTCCACTAACAAACATGCATTTCTGATCTTTAAACACGTCTCGCGTAACGTTACGCTCCTTCCATTGACTGTAGACGATAGCAGTCGTATCCATCCACTCCCAGTCCTCGTTCACCTGTTTCAGACCAATCCAGAACTTTTTCTTTGAATGCCTTCCTAAATATCAAGCAATTGTTCAATTAACAATGGTAATTTGTTTGATTCCGGCGAACTTAAACGAGATTCAATTAGGAATGGGGTGCTACACTTTCGTTCTGCACAAACTTCATTTTGTTGGTCGTTAAAGGAATTTTAACAGCATTAGGTCATCGTCGCCCTTCTCAAATTTGTTTCAAAAAGGTTTCCTCTACAGATATCGATTATTTCCTGAGTTTAAATGCTACAACGATAACGAGGGCTTCTTCAAAACCTATGCATAATTTGATGCACCATTCTTGCTTCAGTCTGCCAGAGATTAGAAGCGGTTTTACTTAGTCGTTCCAGTCTATTTGGGAATTTTTCACTTGCCAAAGGTTAGCAGCACGAAAAAAACTACACTTACTTCTTTAAACCTTAAACCACCTCACCTTTTTGTAGTTGCAAAATTTGTTTCTAACTGCCTTCTCAAAAATTGTTAAGTAATTCAGATATTGCAGAAGTCGGTTTTTAATGTCATTGGTTAAAGTGAAGTGAATCAGAACAAATTTTTAAAAAGCAGTACCACGTTGAAGGGAAACGATTATGACAGCTGTTTTGATTAAGGTGGGAAGAACAGTTTCCCTAGAGGTTACGATTGGAACATGTATTCTACCACTACCTATTTCTGAACATTTTTTTCAAGGTAAGAGTTCAGTTTTATACTATAAAAAATTGATGAAAAATTAAATAAAATTTAGGTTGCCTGATACACAGATGAAAAAGCCACCTTTCACCAATAGACGTGATTAACCGAAGCTGCAGGAGAAATGCGTAAACTCAAGATTTAACTGTAGATTTGGTTGTAAATTGGTAGTTGTTGTCAACTGTAAGGCTTATAAGTTTGTTTTCTTCATGCTGTCTCAAATTACAGTGTTGCCATAAGTAAGTAAATACTTTTGAAAGATAATTTTTGATTTGAAATACAGCACTCTAAAGCATTCTTCATTTTGCAATGACAGTGTATCTCTCGATTATTCTGGTATATTAATATCATAATGAAGTCTTTGAAACGGCTTCTTGTATGTATTTAGCTTACGTAGTGGCAGTGAAGAATCTCTAACAGTTCTTGATAGCTTTATAGTCTTTCAGTTCTGTTGAGAAGACTATCTGTGTTAGGTTTTACCAAAAACAGTCTTTTCTTCAAGATATTCTTGAATTCTACATCAACAATTAATTTCTTCACAACTTTGTTTGCAGCAAAACTGAAAAAACCGTACGTTTCAAATTTACAAATTTGTGTGAGGTTTTTATGGATCGTTGGGTACTTTTCTTCCTGCCATTATGAGAACGACTTTTGCCTTTCTCAATTGTTTAAACTTCCAAAATTTATTTTGAGTTTTCCTCTAAATACGTTGCCAAGCAGCAAATTTTGAGCAGTATACAGAAAAAAGTGAAATTTGGAAACAATAAGGTTACTATCTTCTAACCACAAGACTGCTTCTTCAGTCTTCTTATTTCTACAACTTTTTTCAATACCTTTTTGTTTGAAATGAAATAACTGCATAAACTTTTACGCTTAATCGCCTTGAATTCAAACGCGCACATTTGATAGTACTCTCTTTTATTTCGCTTCATCGACCTTAAGTTGTGATGGTAGAATATATGCATCTTATTTCTGTTGTGACTTGGAGAAGATATTAATAAAGCTGTAAACTTAATCTGAATCAAAGAAATACTGCTAACTACAAAAGTATTGTCGGTAATCTTAAAAACTGTTATTTAGATAGTGACATACCTTTTAATATTTTGAATTCGTTTTCTGAGGAAAATGACACGAGTGTACCTCCTATAGTTTCGCAATAACGTTCAGATTCTTCAAAGGTTTTTGGCTTCTCAATCTTAATATTGAGACTTTTAGAACAATTAAGGCTTGAAGACTTAACACTGTGCTTCTAGTCTACTTACAAGTAATGCATAACACTTTTGAGAGTTCATGTGCTGTGTACCTTCAGAACACTGTCTTAGCGAAAAAGGTTAGTGGAATAAACCAGGAAAGGTATCACTAGCATTAGGAAACCTTAGCAACAAAGAAACCAGCATTATCCGTTATTTAATAAATCATGTACTTCAACATTCATACTTTATCTGCAATTTCATGTTTCGGACTTTATTAGAAAAAGA